GTGTGTGTGTGTGTGTGTGTGTGCGCATCACACCACTGTCGGAGGAGTAGTTGCAAAATCAAAACAAAACAAGTGATTGTAGAAGCAGACGGGTGGAGTTTGCAGCTCGTGGATGCGGAAACGTGCCAAACTTTTCTTATCCGGATGTCGCAAAGTCCACCGATCGGATGCAACAACCGCATTAAACGCTTTTTTGGCAGCTACAATCCGAAGCAGGTCGTGAATTTGGAAAGAGGAGGATAGTTGGAGGAGGGTGGAAGGGGGGGGGGGGACTGGAAGACACTGCCGCACCTCTCGCTTCATTGGTGCTTTTGTTTCTGCTTAAAAACCAGAACCTGTGAGGCTCAAAATTGTGTCTTTTTCAAAACCCTACGACATGAATCTAAAAGTAAGAAAGCTTCAAGCCTCCTGAACCGCGGAGGTCTCCTCCCTTGAAATGATTAAAAAGTAACGTGAAAAGCACTTAAAATGGGAGATTCCTCCACGTAATGCACTTCACTTCAAAGCTTATAGGCACATGATTCAAACTGGTTACACATCATCACGATTCCTTTTGTAAAGATCCTTTGTAAACAGCTCATTCAGTAGTCACACATTTACAATCCATTTACACCAGTCTGACCTGTATTACATGTAAACGACACGAAATCAAACTAAACACACACGTACACGATTTCAAAAAGAAAGGCCTCTGAATATGAGGGAGGACTATCTACAAAAGTCACTGACACCCGGCTCCTCCGTGAACTGCTGACCCCGCACCTCTTCACGAGGAGCGGGGGATAAACTGCTGACTGGGTGAGACGTGTGGAATAGAATACAGTAAAATAGAATAGACTCTACTACGCTGAAATTTACTCTCAGAGGTAGGCAGCTGTCGTTAGAAAGAGAGGTGAAGCAGTGTCTTGCAGCGCTGTGGTTAAAGAGTAGAGAAGGTGAGGAGGGGATTCAGGGGAAGATCCAGACATACATTACAGTACGTACTATGTGTGCTTTACGGGGTTTTTCCTGGAGGACGCAGTCTTAGCTGCTGCGTTTGTGTGCTCTCCCTCTCTCACTCATTCACACCACATCCACGTCACACTCGAGACAAACGCCCACAAAACAACCTTGATTCTGTTGGATACGTTTCAACGCAGCCAGAACACAATATGTGCTTATCTGACTCCCCGTCTGATAACATTACAAATCTAAACTCTTCAACATAAGGCAAAAAAGGTTTCAAAATTAGCTGCCCGAACTGATCATCTAGGCCTAAAGGACGATGGCGGGTTCAAAACCGATGTCTTTTTTTTGTAATAGATTATTTGGCCTTAGAAAATCATAACTGGGTTTGTGGAAATAAAGGCATATGGAAGGACCGACTGGGTCGGTTTAATACTGGCACAAGTGTGAGACTGGCACGATAACAAAGTAAAACTGCACAGAGAATGCCCGTACGCCAGAGGAGAGCCTCCCTTTCGTGGCTGCACTGTGTGTATGCCAACAAAACCAAGGTCAGATGATCAAGTCCCTCGTGAAGCAGGTTAATAAACCCAGGAGCCCTCAGTTTCAAAGCCCCCCCCACACCCGACGCACACACACGCTCACATACACACATATACAGCTGCTGTAAGGTGGTCAAGTTTGGGGTGGAAGAAGAAATGTCGGGGGGGGGGATTCAGGGCAAAGAGGGAGGGATGGGAGGGGGCAGAGAGTTGTGTGTGACTATCGGAAGGGGGGCTCAGGCGTGTGAAGGGAGAGTTCGGGGCGGCGGAGGATGGCCTCCTTGCGCGTGGGCGGCGGCAACGGCGGCTCATACACCCTGGGTGCAGCCATGGCGGCTGCCACTGCCGCAGCGGTGGGGACCACTGGCCTGAGGGCGTCCAGCGTAGCGACCGGCTGGCCCGACATCGCAGATACAGCTTGGACCGCAGACATGGCCGACACTCCCGGCATGCCAGGGATGCCCGTCACTGTGCTCTGTGGTTGGTAGGCGTACTGGAACTGTGGGTACTGCTGCAGCTGCTGGTAGTACTCCGCATAGTACCTGAGAAACAGGAGGAGGGTGGGTTGAGGGAGAGAGGGAGAGGAGGATACAGGAAGAGGGAGAGCGAGGGCATTTATGGAAGCATGTGGCAACACAGAGGGAGTAACAAGAGAGCAATGACGCAAACACGAATTATGGGAAATGCAAAAAAGGACTAAATGAGCCCCGAGAATCAGGACAACTATAACTCATCAATAATCAATGATCATCTCCTACCTGGCCATGGGGTCCTCCGCAGCCTCGGCGGCCTCTTCTGCTGCTCGACCAGCAGGGGTGGGGAGGAGGGGTCGGCGTGGCTTGACTCTCTGGTACATGAACGGCTTCATCACAGGGTCCGGCAGCAGGGGCGTTGACCTCCGCAGGGGACTACGGTCCCTCTCACCAGATTTTGCTGCAGCCACCGCCGCTGCAGCAGCCGCTGACTGCTGCTCCGCCAAGACGTGCTGACCTTGGGCAAAGTAATGTGCCTGCCTTGCTGCCTCAAAGATGGCTTGAGTATGGTCCGCTGCTCCCATGGCGCTTATGTGAGCGTAGGCCGGTGTGGCAGCACCATAAATTGCCGGAGCTACAGTGTAGGCAGAGTTTACTGCAGCTGCTGCTGTCTGCATTTCTAGCCCAGGAGCAGCAGTCAGGTAAACAGGGGGGTTGCCCATGGTTGGGGTGTAAACTGGAGTTGAGTAGGCAGCCGCAGCAGCAGCAGCCGCAGCAGCCGCTGGACTTGCAGCCACCTGGCCGTAGATGTTGGGGGTCATGGAGCTGTACATTTGGGTGGCGCCTGATGTGAGAGCTGCCTGATTGGCCACCGAACCATATAGCTGATTGGCAACATTGGCACCATACACCTGGCTGGCAAGGGCACCGTAAACCGCTGGGTTCACTGGATTTCCGTCAGTGCGTGTTCCCGTGGTTATCCCAGTGAGCGCTGCGTATGTGGGATCGAAGGTGGAGGTGTTGTAGACTGAGTTGTGCACACTTTGTTGGACCTGTAGAGGCAGTCCGGCTGCTGCAGCGGCAGCGGCAGCCAGGACAGCTGCTTGACTCTGGTACTGCTCCAGAGAGGGCTTCCCCACGGGGCACTCTCCAGCATAGTGGCCCTGCTTTCCACAGTTAACACAGGGGATCTTCCCTGTAGGCGCCTGCTTGCTGGGCTGGACCTTAGACAGCTCCACAGACAGGGGGCGTCCCTTGAACGAGGTGCCATGCAGGGCCTCGATGGCCTGGAGAGCGTCCTCCTTGTTCTCCATGTGAACGAAGGCGTAGCCTGTGGAAGAGGAATGCCTGGCTGTCATTGAGCGCAGGGAAAACAATTAGGATCACAGTGGCTTTGCCACAGGCACTTACTTATTACTTCTATTAGAATTTACTGCCCTACGGTCCAGCACCTGGTCTATCTTTACAACAGGGATATTTACACACAGAGAACTTTGCACTGGTTTATCACACACACACACCTCTAAGACATAATCTCTGACAGCATAACTTCCACACTTTTACCATCATCAGGCACAACATGGCAGGATGTGACTGGGAGCATTTTCAAACTATTTCAATGTTACTTGGCTCTTCACTCACCTTTGACTTTGTCACATTCCAGAACTTTTCCAAACGTCTGAAACAACTGCTGTAGATCTTCAGTGGTGCACATCCCGCTCAGGTTACCCACAAACACCTTGGTGGAGTGCAGCGGTCGTCCCCTGGACTCCTCCACCACCAAGTTCCGACCACGAAATTCCCGCCCATTGAGTTCCCGGATGGCGCGCTCGGCGGCGCCCTCGCCCTGCAGGTGCACAAAGGCAAACTGCCGCAGCACGCTGCAGCTGACCACCTGGCCGTAGGGCTCGAAGATGGCCGACAGCTCCTCCTGGGTGGTGTCCAATGCCAGGTTGCCCACGAAGAGCTTCACTGTGTTGCTCTTGTCCATGGCGCTGCAGGGACAAAGAGGAATGATGTGCTTGACTGTGGTTAGAGATAAGTGAGAGGATTAACTGCACAATGCAGCAACCGGCTGCCATAGACTCAACAACTACTGAGTGAGCACAAATCCACACCTTTGGCTCTATACTGACGAGGAGGAGGAGACACTGAAGGACACGAGGACATAGCTGAGCCAGCTAGTTTCCTCTGTGTGGCTTAAAACTGTCTGTTTGGGACGTTTGCTGCTGACTTTAATATGAAGAATTTGTCTAACGTGAAACATTTGTTTATTCTAAACCAGACAAAAGATTGTTGGTTTAAGAATCGACACTAATTTAACTGAAATGGAAAAAAAGCTGCGGCTCATAATTACAGTGAAAACACATAGTTGGACTTTCTTTAGGAAATTCTCTTTAGTTATTACTGAAATGATCCTTTTCTTTTTCGCACGGTTTCCAGTTTAAATGCTGAAATACTTGATTTGAATTTAATGTTGCAGTATATTTTCTGTTGTGTCTAATTGTCCTCTTTGTAACGGCTGATTTTGAAAGGTGCCATGTTAATGAACTTATTATTATTATTATTATTTTTGAAATGAGCATCCAATAGACCCCGCACTAAAAATCCAGACATGAAGTAAAAACACAGCATTTGCATAACATACGATCCAGCTCCGTCTACAATTACAGAGTGTAATGACTTCGAGGTTATGAATGAAATGAGAGATTTGAATACCACATATTTGCCTGTGAGCTGACCACAAACCTCCGGTCCAACAAAGCAGAGCTTCCATTCAGAAATCTATACATCACAGATCAAATCTGAGAGGAGGCTGTGATCCCTGCAGAGCTATGAGTCACACTCCTGGAGACAGCACTGAGCATCACATCCATCACATGGACCTTCATGGTGCAGAGTGTTGCAGGAGAATCAGACTGAACGTGTCCTGATACCTTCCCTGTCCTCCTCCTGGACAAGGCTTTACACTGGCCTGTAAATCAAAGGGACGTGGAACGTGACACCAGAGGAGGACATTTCTATTTTCTGGCTCCAGTCAGCTGCCTGATCCATCTCCTCCTCACAGAGCCTGGTTATACTGCGCATGTACAGTACATGTACACACGTTATACATGTATATAAACACATATATAACTGTGGGTTCATCTCAGCTATAACCTGAGGGGGAAGCTGGGTCTGTGATGACGCAGCACGACGCTGAGTCAACACATTTCACAGCTGGAGCCGTTTCTAATCAGAACAACATGTAGAATCAGAACATGCAGAAGAACAACGTGTGAAGGAACAACACGTAGAAGCAGAACACGAAGCAGAATTCCCTGCGTGACACGACAGGAGCTGAGGATCTGCTGTGAAACAACGTGTCTCCGGCTCCGAACCAGAATCAGACTCGGATGTTTCACCAGAGACGAAAACAAGCATCGAGCGAACAAAGGAAAGTGGCTTTGATCTCCGCGGAGGATAAAAGACGGTAAACGCGAGGCTCCAGTGTTCGAACCCTCGGAGACATTTCCTCCTCAGACCCAGCGGAGCAGCGACACGTTCCCGGGTAACAACACGTCGCCAAAACAGAGAACGGCTCTTTCACACGGTTCCGCGTCACATCAGCTCGATCACGACAATCAGAAGAATAACGAGGAGAACGAGAATACTGCGGAAAAACAGGATCAAATAAAGGATCTACCATCTTACCTAGGCGGTGCTGTGTTTCAAAATGGTAGCGTCTGCTTCCGTTTGAATGTCGGGCTCATACTACTGCAGGGAGGGGGG